GTCCGGGCGGCGGCAGTGCTCGACGGCGGCGGTGCGGGCGCGGGTGAGTTGGGGGCGCGGGGTGGAGAGAGGGGGGAGAGAGAGGGGAGAGTGAGGGGGTGGGGCCGGAGAGACAGAGAGGGGGCGGCCGTTTCTAAGTGGGGGCACGTTCTTTGCCGTCCGCTAGCGAACGGCAAAGGGCACGCATAGTAGAAGGGGGAGACGGCCGTTAGCTGGGCCCTTTCTTTGACGTCCGCTCACGGACGGCAAAGGTCCAGCAAGCAGACGGCAAAGAATCTGACCTAGCCACGCTGTGCCCTGTGGGGCCCATCTGGCTTTTTGTTGTCTGCCTTCTAGCTCTTAAGCATCTGACGGCAAATAGTTTTTTTTTGTCATCTGCCCTTTCTTTGACGTCCACTTGTGGAAGCGGACGGCAAAGAGGAGGAAGATGGCAAAATGCCAGATTCCAGTAGTGTATATTTGAAAGAACATAGTTGCCTTTATGTTTTTTCACAGTGGGTATTAATTTACAAGTACTACCTCGGTATTAAAATATAAGACGTTTTGATAGGTTATTTTAGCCTAAAAAACGTCTAATATTTTGGTATAGAGATAGTAGCGAAAAACCACTGAATAGAAGCACGTAAACTGTACCGCTCGCATGTGGATTCATGTGCTTGAGTTGGAGATATCTTTACAATATCAAATGCGCATCTGTACGTCCACTGCACAGAGAAGATCAGCTGCAGAAAAAACTAGTATCATGGCATGAATGATTACCAATTCCAGAGCTACTCTCGTGCCATAAGATCGGTACGAGCTACTTGGCTGGTTAAATCAAGAGGCGGTAGAATTTAAGTTGGTTGTTGTTGGCATCTATCCATCTACTATTTGGTACGACTTTTAGATTCTCTCCAGTGCGATTACAATTGTGCCATCCAATTTACACTTCACCTGTGCACATTAAACCCATTAACAGTCCCGCAAATGGCGCTCGCTCGCTCGTTCCACGTTGGATTAGCTAGGAGACAAAGGGGTTCGCTTCGTCTCGAGAAGAAAAAGAGAAAGGGATTGGCCACCGGCCCAGCCCCGAGTCCCCATCCCTCCGATTCCTCTCCCTTTCCGCCGCCGCCGCCGTCGCCACCACCGGTGACCTTCTCGCTGCAGCCGCCATCACCCACGCCCTCCCCAATGGCTGACACTTCCACCTCTTTTCTCCTTCCCTAAACTTCTCACCATCGGCGCTCCCCTCCCCCTCGCACCAGATCGAGCAGAGCAGAGCGGAGCGGACGGGGCGGGCCGTGCCAGAACAAGCGTAATACGGTTGCGGGCGGAGAGGGCGAGGCTGAGTTGCTGTCGGTGGTGGCTCAGAGCCAATGGAGGAGCAGGTGCCGGTGGTGGTTTTGATCTATGGTCTGCCGTGTAAGTGGCGGCGGCTTGATCCTGCCTTGCCGTGGGTGAGGAGACCGACGGCGGCACCATCCACTATTTCCTACAGCAGGTGGATCCCATGGCAAGCGTACCGCACACTCCCTGCACTCGCCGCTGCTGCCGCCGCCAAGGGCTTCGGCTGCTCCGCCATCGGGGGCCTCCACGACGCCCTCTACCGCGTCACCTCCAGCCAAGGTCTCCTTATTACCCATGTGTTTACCACTCTCAAACCTCTCACTATTGCTCCAGAATTCTCTTTGAATTTGGGGATGAAACAAACGATGAATGAATCGATTGATTGGCGGCACGCAGACAACAGGGGTGGGATGCCGCATTCGGGAGCCGCTATGGATCGTCTTTGAGGGTGTCCGGCGACATCCGCATCGAGACCTACCTCCAGGTTTCTCTCAACAAAGTTCGTTGATTACAGTGAATCATTGTGGTCGGCAAGGTTCACCTCTAAAACAACTACACCAGGGACTGTCTTTAGCCATTTGTCTCCAAGGAACATCCCATAAATACTCAAGAAGCTCAGCAATCTTGTGTCGAATATTAAATGTGTCGAAGAATTGTGTATGGGAGCCATTGAATTCAATATCCACACAAAGCTTTAGAAGATTCTTGACAAGATAATCGAGACATAGTTGGTGCCCCTCAAATAACGAGGCTGTGGATTTCAAGCTGCTTCTTTGTAGCATCCAGCTTTTCAAAACTTCAACCATCTTTGCTTTCAGGTAAGGATTTTTAATGTAAGAAGAGCTCGCCATGAACATGATGTTGAAATTGAGAAAATCATCCAAAGGGAAGCCCTCCGGAGCTTTTGGAATTCTAGAGGTTAGAGCAAGTAAATCCGTTGCATCATCAAGAAAATGCTCCGGTATGCAAGAAAATTCCATGGGCCATTCTGATGGCGAAGGCATCTTAAATCCCCCAACTAAGCCTACTGACCACAATATCATTAATCTGTAGAAAGATAGTGCACGCTGAAGAAAAGCACTGTCCCTTAGTATCTGAGATTCATAGCAGAACTGTTCTTGGGATAAGGCTGCAACTATCTTCTCCAAGCATGTTATATCTTGCTCAAGCTGTGGTGAACTTCCTCCTTGATCTCTGATTGCGTTGTTTGCTTCCAAATCATCTTCACACCTTGCGAGTTCCCGAGAGATATGTTTAAGATCTGCCACAGCTTTCATCACTCCCAAGTTAAGTACCCTTGCCGTCATGAAAAAACATTCGCAAATAAAATGAGAAATTCTCTTTATTTGCCTTTCCACTGCCATTATCTTGGCTCCAGCTCTCTATCCATGATGAGACTTCTTCTGAAGAGGCATTTACCGCGGTCAAGCTCTTGAAGTCTACTCTTTTGTTGCATAAGAGGTACTTGACATCAATCTTGCCCTTCATCGACTCCATTTTATCCAAAAAAGGCTCGCACAGACGGAGCATGACAGCACTAAGATTGACAAACATACCCGAACTTGCGCATTTCAAAGGGTCCACACGCATGCCAGATCTTCCTGCATTTGTGTTTATCACCACTGCCAGATATTCAAGGACCTTTTCTCAAGTATCCGAATTCTTAAGCAGCACTAGAAGAACATCCCTCAGCCCATCCTGCAAGCTATTCATAACATTTTGTATTGCTGCGAATGATGACAGTAAATCAGCCGGCCTGCGTGTAGATGCCTCGGAGAAGCACTGTTGCCCAACATCAGGCTGGCTTGCAAACTCACGGTCAGGGATAGCACTAACATGGAAGAAGGCCCCAAGCAAGCTGCAGATCTCCATGGTTCTTCCTTCCCCAATCAGCATCAGCGTCAGAGCTGAGGTAACTCATCTAAATGTGCCGTTTTATATGCCCGCAACCCACACGCATTGAAACCATCAATTTCTAATGAATCTGTACATACATTTGCAGATTGTATCCCAATGTAACATATACGAAGGAGGACAGAAAACTGTATTCAAATACATGCCAGAGAAGGTACCTGCATCTTCTGACAAGATGAGACGAGACAGAGCATTTGCATATATCTTAGTTACAGGTACTGATGAATGCTGCTGCAGGCTGCCGACAGTGAAGAGACAGTGGCCGGGTGGATCAGGTCGGAGGTAATCTTCCACTCAAAGATGATGGGAAAATTGCGTTTGAGGTAATCTTGTTCTTACCTGATGTGGGTACATCTAAGTGAAATTTTCCTTTTGGTGCTTCTGTGTCAGCCGATCTTCTGTCTGTAGAGTTGTTTTTTACATTATGTTTTTATATGTTGTGATTGACCACAATGGCAGAGTTATATAATTTGTGATTTGGATTTGCGAGAGGTTAAAGATGCATTCTATTACTTAACGTTATTATGCCTCGATCAATTAATAAAATCCAGTATCACTGTTAGTGACAATGATTTTCATGCCATTATTTGACAGTCATCATGCTCCTGCCATATCAGGGGAAGAAATGTATACTTGCAGTATTCATCTCATCAAGAACTAACTACTCATCCGAGCTCTCATGGACAGAATCCTGATCAGGTACACATTGATCCCAACTACAGTTTGGGTTCTATGCTCTATTATTGCCTTTTTATAGGAAGTCAACATTTTTCTGCATTTTTGTATTCTTCAGGACAGGAGCACACGGGGAAGAGCATGGTTCTTGACAATGAGGCCCTTTATAAGATCTGTTTCAGGACATTCTCAAGCTGACCACTCCCAGTTGTAAGCGAAATCTTTACCTTTTTATTTTCTTCTGATGAATATGAGCATGATGTCAAATGGATCTTCGTAATTCTGAATATTTGTAACTGCATGTTATAATATGCTTAATTTTTTTAGAAAAGGAGGATGACCCCCGGCCTCTGCATCTAGGCGATGCATACGGCCACTTTATTAATTATTCTCACAAGACCTTACAAAGTAATACAACAGTAAGACTAAAGCCGCCGTCTAAGCACCTCTATCGAGCTGATGAAGGGGCGCAGATAGCCTGGGCCTAATACCAAACAGACATCGCAGCCAAACCTAACATCTAAGACCTGAGAACCCATCCAGGACGCCTGCCGGGCATGGGTCTCACCGGTCCGGCGTACACTCAGATGCCGCCGCCGCCAACTGCCACCGCTCCATCTTCAGAACTGTACTGATGCATCAACCTTGCTCGGTCGAGCTATCGTCGACGCCACCACGGCGCCAAACGGCACCTCCTCCCTGCGCGCAAACAGCTGAGCACGTCGCGGTCGCCACTGATATACCTCAGCGCCATGCTGCCAGGTATCACCAGCCGACACAGCTTGAAGTCCTTGGAAGATCTGTCGTGCGTAGCACTTGCCGACCAGGCATGACAAAGCGTAGCACCTGTCGGTCAGGCATGACTTGACATCACCCCCGAAGCTCCGTGCAAGACGAAGCCGCTCCACCTCCTGCCTCTGACATCCAGCGCTGCTCCGCAAACGATGCTCCCAAGAGAGAAACGACACCGCAGTGCCGCCATCGTCGGATCTGGAACACCAGATCCTAGGGTTTCCCCCGGAGCAGCACGAGTGGGTTGACAATAGTTACACGACGATGCCTTCATCAAGGTAACAGCGAGAACGCCGCCATCGCCTGCCGTCGGCTCGGTTTTCACCGGCAACCATGACTCCCCTACTCGCAGCCGGGACAAGATGATGGATCTCGAGATCCGATCACCAAGCCTCTGGTCGGCCATCTCGAGAAGAAGATGACCACCACGTCCAGCAGTCTCACCACGCCGGGCACGCGTCGCCGCCGGCACCCCCATGGTGCCTAGAGGCCGACAAGCCCCGACGAATCCCATGCCTCGCCAGCCGCCATGGCCCAGACCCCGGCACCACCAGATCCAGATCGGATCGGGGTCCAGGGCCCCAAGCCGCAACCGCCGCGGAGGCAGCACCACTGGACGGCGCATAGCCCTCCAGCCCGCCGCCGAATCCTCGCTGGAGCTCCGCCGCGCCACGCCGCCAAGCCGCCGCCGGAAACTCGCGCCGCCGCTAGAGAAGCCACAGCCGCCGCGCGTTGGAGAGGCCTCAAGCCGCAACTGCACCGCCGCCACCCAGCACGCCCTTCGCCGTGCCGCTAGGCCCCGCCCAGCCCAGCGCCGGACGCCAACCGCGAGAAGAGGGGCAAGATCCCCGCCGCCACCAACGCCGGCCGGTCTTTGCCCGGTGGCGCTGTGTGGTGGCGGCGGGGGGAGAGAGATCGATGGGGGGGCGAGGGGTGGCGGCTAGGGTTTCCCCCGAGGACGCTCGCGGGAGCGACTCGGGGGTCGGGATAATAATGTAGTTCTTAATAACACACAAATAGTAATGCATATTTTCTATTCACAACCCGGAAATTGGAACATAATGTAGTTCTTGGCTTCCTTTCTGTATAATGTCTGTCCAAACTATTCCTGTAGGGCAGTTTTGGTTTTCCTAGACATGGTCTGAAACTCTAAATGGATTCTATTGGTGACATGGCTGACAGTAGCATCATCTAGCGTTGAGCGATGACCAAATGAAAATTTCATTTGTACTTTCCAACTAACATGTATTCAGTTAATATGGTTGGCCACAGATGGAGTGCAGTCTAGAAGTTAGAATGATGGTACGCTCTATCCTGTTGTCCAGGGTACGCAAGAATAGTGGGATTTATACTACGAGAAGTATTACATATGCTTTGTATCTTAGCAGCCTTCCGCCCAGTCATTCTTAGCAGGGGATCTTTGGTTATGAGTTCATAATTGAAATTTGCATGTAGTCATGAAGCCTTACTCAGACGCATGTTTTTTCAGTGTTTTGTGTTTTACACCCTCCGCTCCTAAATATAAGTCCTTTTAGAGATTTCAATATGGACTACATAGGAAGCAAAATGAGTGAATCTACATTCTAAAATATGTCTATACATTCGTATGTAGTCTCTATTGAAAACTCTAAAAGGATTTATATTTAGAAACGGAGGGAGTATATCCAAATGAATCATGTATGTGCGTGGATGCCATTCTTTCCTGAATAAACATATATTGGTGATCATCAGGCACTTTGTGTTCTACAAATGGAGCTCCCTAGAGATAGTTGTATAGTACTATTTGTTATTTTTGAACTATCTGTCGTATCTGTAATGAGTGGTCTAAGCAATAAAACTGCTACTCCTGTTCATATGTGCCTATCATTATCCATGATGCTTGCCTTTGCTTCTAAGCCTAATAGATTTTGTGCATGTGCATTGTTCGTAATGCATTTCTGCTACTGTTATCCTATTTATTCCAGCACCAAGATGCTCAGGTCAGTACTTCTAAGCCTCATATATTTTATGCGTGTGCATTGCCCATAAAGGATTTTTGTTGCTGTATCATCTTGGGCTGCTTGTCTCCTCACTAAACTAAGCCAACTGTCGTATAGACACGTTAACAAATACGCACAATCCCGCCTCAAGAGGCGCCACCAGGTGGCGCCCCAACCACTAGTATATAGGTAAATATTGGGCGTTTGCTAGTATCTCTTGAGGCCAACAGTAGCTAGCTAGCCCTCTATCACTAGTAGTTTTTTGCATCAATATAGCCAATTTCTCCTACACATATAGCTTGGGAGCGGTAATGGGAATGGGTGGTATCGTGAATGAGTGCAACACAGTTTGTCCATCTACTGCTCCGACTCTGGCATATCAGACCTATAGTCCATACATCCATATACTTGTAAAGCTTATAAAGGTACTCATACAACGTCCAAGGATGAGTCAGCCACAATTTAGTCTCGCAGCGATTTTCATTGAAACCCTCCTCACTACTCGCGTGACCTGTTCCATCAGGATCTCTCGGCATGTTGAACCCTTCATGGCCCAACTGGGTGGGATCTCTCGGCAGGGTGAAGACTGTCGCGTGTGGTCGGAGTCTAACCCGCGGCAGTAGCAGTAAGCCTGCAAGCGGTCAAACCAAGTGAGCTACCAATTCTTTGGGCAATATAATTGAAACTTACCCATTTTATTTACCACGGGAGACGAGAACCATGTGTTGTATTTTGTTTTGTCTCCTAACTTAATAGTGCATTTGAAACTAGTGTACACAAGTTTTAACTAAAATGTCTAATCATAGTGTATAAATTTATCCGGGACGCCATGCTTTGTCTCCATATAATAAACTAGCATGTAAATGATATCCCTAGTCGTACATTACAAGACCCCGAGTCTGTTAAAACCCATGGCTTCTACTGCAAAAAATGGTAGTTAGAGGGAGAAGAACAGTGCACCATGGACAATACAAGTACACATGGAATAATTCATGACTTCTAAT